AGTGACGCACAAATTTAAATTAAATTTAAAAATTATTATTTCACGTAAAAATGGGTGGTAAAAAATTAATAATAATAAACTCTCTACGAATTTTTTTTTTTATTTTATTATTTTTTTTCTTGTTTGTTTGTTTGTTTGTTTGTTCGTTTGTTTGTTTGTTTGCAATGTATTCGAGAGCTAAATTACAAAGAAACATTCTAAGATTGTTAAACCGTGATTTTATGTTAAAGTCGTGCTTCTTTAGGCTTTTGAAAAAAAAAAAAAAAAAATATTAAGAAGAAAAAAAAAAAAGGATTTTTAAATAGCTAAACGGAAAATGATTTTTCACATACGAATAATAATAATAATAATAATAATAATAATGATGATGATGTATAAGAACGAATTCGAAAATGATTTCGGTTGTTATTTAGATATGAAAAAATTTAATAAAAAATTAATAACGTTAAATGTTTTTAAAATGATTTCGTCGGGGAAGGAGAAAGAAAAAAATTTTGTCGTGGTTTTATTTATTTATTTATTATTTAAAAAAACGTATACGTAACAAAATTATTCATTTCTTTTTTTTTACACACGCACACACACGTGAAATCGGTAAAAAAAAAAAAATAAATTAAAAAAAAAAAAATTAGGAATGTTTGTGACGCATTTATCGATAGTTAAAGCACGTTTTTTAAAAATTTAATTTTTTTTTTTTTTTCTTTGCTCAGGGACGAATTTTCCTAGATTTAAAAAAAAAAAAAAAAAAAGGAAAAAAAGTAGGAAAAAAAAACGATATGGAAAATTTACCTGGTTCCCATACCCTTGAAAAAATAGAAAAAATTGTTAAAAATGATAAAAAAATACAATAACGACGAAAGTTTTTTTTTTTTTTTTTTTTTTTTTAAAATTACGCGCGTGTTTTTTTTTTTTAATTTTGACGAAAGAAAATGTCAACCTTTAAAACGAATAATTATTATTATTATTATTTTTGGGATACTCCATGACCGGAAATTCGATTTTTTTTTTTTTTTTTTTTCAGGAGAAAAAAAATAAAAGAATCGAATTACTCATTTTCATTTGTAAAAAAACGTGGCTATATCTCTAATATTATTATTGAACAAATAAAAGATTTAAAAAAATATTTTTGGCGCCAAAATTTAATTTTATTGACACGTGTACACGCGCGCACAAACAAACAAACAATTTAATCCGTTGGAAATCTTTTTGGAGAAAAAAAAAAAAAAAACATTTTTTTTAATTCTCTCAATCATAATTAATTCGAAACCGAATTTCTAAAAAATTCCCCCCCCCAAAAAAAAAAAAATTTCATAGAGTATATAAAAAAAGGCGGTAAAATTTAAAATTCAAATTATTTAAAATTAAATTAAATTCCGATCATCGTAAACCCTTTCACCGTTTCGCTTATTTTTTTTTATTTTCGACAACAACAGCAACAACAACAACAACAACAACAACAATAATAATAATAATAATAATAATAATAATAATAATAATAATATCGACTTTCTATGACATGTGTGTGTTTGTTAATTAGTGAAAACAAGTCACTGATTTACCAAAAAAAAAAATTAAAAACAAACTTCCTCCTACGAAATTGCACTCCGAAAAAAAAAAAAAAAAAAAGAAACCCCCTAATGGAAATACAATGTTACAAAAAAAGGTTAGGGAGGGGGAGGGGAAGGGAGAGGGAAGGGGGAAAATAAGAGATGCGGTTAAAAAGGGGCACGAGGGAGCAATAATGAATAAAAGGAAACATGTTTTCATATATATATATATAAGAGGGTTGTATAAAATCAAAGGGCAAAAAACGAAACGAAAAGAAACGAGAAAATCGTGCTCCTTGTATAAATAAATAAAAATTTTTATTTAAATGTTATTTAAAAAAAAAATTTGTTAATGACCTCCTCCTCCTCCCCTCCCCCCCAGTTAATTTGATGATTTGTTTATGAGCTTTCGTTCGTTTGTGTAAACTAGGGGGGTGGGGGGTTTAAACACTTAACATGTTTAACTTTGGCGCCATAAAATCTTCATTCAAATGACATTTTATTAAAATAATATATGACAGGTGTGTCTGAATCGTTTTCAATACTAAATCATTCAAGTTTTTTCACTAGCCAAAATTTTATTCGACGCCATTTTTTTTTTTTTTTTTAAAAAAAATTTAAATCCTAAAATATTATTATTATTATTATTTTCACATGACGAGAATATATTGTTTTTAATAATGATTATAATACGTTTGATCGTGTAAACAAATTCGAACGTGGTTTTAACTCATTGGAATTTTTTCCCGGTTAAATTTTAAATTTTAAAATTCGCGGGTTTTTTTTTGAAATTTTCCTAACAAGTGAAAAACCTTGTTTTATCATATCAATTTTCATTTATAATATATATATATATATTAAAACATTTATATTGATATTTGATGATTAGGCTTACGATTTGGCTTTCGGTCGGCCTGTTTTTTTTAAATTTCTTTTTTTTTTTTTTTACCTTTACCTTATAGGCTTCGAACGGTTTGAATTACGTTTTTTTTTTTTTTTTTTTTTTTGTTTTGAATTGAATAAGGCTTTTGATAAGGTCATCATCATCATCATCATCATCATCAATTGGAATAATACCTCTTTCACTCGAAACCATCCTTATAATAATAATAATAATAATAATAATAATATTAACGAGAGGTATCAAGGTTTTTAAATCGAAACCTCCCCCCCTCCCTTTTTCGATACTCGAACGATAATCGAATCGCGATTATTTTACTCTTTGCCACCGAGTTGCAGGTTCTTAATTTATCAGGTACGAAATTCAACGATCGACGGTTAATTTTCAAACGTTTGTTATCAGTTTAAAAAAAAAAAAATGATAACAAAAATTCGTAACGGTTTTTTTTTGAAAAGAAAATATTGGTGGAAGCACGTTTTCGGGGTCAAATCTTTCATTATCATCATCATCATCATCATCATACAAAAACCAACGTAATTGACCTCTGACCTCTCCTCTTGTTTTAATTATTTTAAGGTTTAACTATTTAAAAAATATAAATAAAAAAAAAAAAATTTTTTTTAATATGTACCTGAAAAGTTAAGAGAAATTCGCATAATCGGTTACTTTTTTGTTGTTGTTCAATGCCTGATTCATTCCCGTATTTGGGTCACTCCATACAATAATAATAATAATAATAATAATAATAATAAATTCTTCATTGTTTTATATAGAGACGACCGTTGTTGTTGGTAAAAAAAAAAAAAAAATTAAATTTATTCTTAATATCGCTACCATCACGACCACTACGAATTTCCCTTTTCCTTCCCTCCTCCCTAGCCCCCCTCCCCCCGTTTGATGCCCCGTGAAGATCTTTCTTTCCTTTTGTTTTTTTTTTTTTTAATAAGAAAAATAAAAATTTCGCAAAAAAAAAAAAAAAGCACCTCTAACGTTAAATATGTAAGGTGAAACTCGCGTTATACGATTGCTGTTAAGGTATCGAATTTTAGCGTGGGACGATAACAAAAGAAATGAGATCCAAATAATGTTTCATAACTCAGATAATGTGTCTTTGAGCAAAAAAAAAATCACAATCAATGTCCGTGAAAAAAAAAAAAAAAATCTTCAATGACGACCGTTTTTTCTCTCTCTCTCTAATCCCTAAGTTTCGAACCAAAATTTAAAAAAGAAAACAAAATGGCGTCGATCGTATTTTTTTCGTACCTTTAATATTTAAAAAAAAAAAATTAAATATTAACCCTTTTCGAATGAGTTTTTTGCTTTAACAACAACAATAATAATAATAATAATAATATTACGTGGTTGATTTTTTTTAAAATGTCCGAAAATAAATAAATAAGAAGTTAACCGTGACTAAAAAAGTCCCCTCCCCCTCCCCTAACCCCCTCGGTATGTATATTTATAATTCCATTACTAAAATATAAATAAAAAAAAAAAAAAAAAATTTTTTTTAAAAATAACTAAAGACCCTTTTATTAACTACAAGTCCCCCAACGTTTTACGAATAAAATTAATTAATTGGGGGGAGGGAGTGCGTAGGGTAGGGGGAAAAACAAATTTTTAAAAATTGTGATCAACAACAACAACAACAAATTAGTTTTTCCAACATCTGTAAAAAAGTTACCTGATCTTAAAAACTAATATTATATAACTTTTTAGAAAAAAAAAAAAAAAAAAAAAGAAATTTAACGCTTAATAAATTTCAATGACAGACAACCGTTGATTAACCGTTGTTGGTTGACATTAAAAAAAAAGTGAGATAAATATATGTGCGTGCGTGTGCGTGTG